TCTAAGAGCGAAAATGCATGAGGGGTGCATGGTCGGAAAACCTTCAACGTTTTGCATCAGCGCACATGTGCAAAGCTTCCCCATTTTAGATGTTGTGCTTGGAGAAACAGCTGCTTGGGGAACCATTTCGGTTTTCTATATGAGCACAAAATTTAAGGATGGGCGTTTTACTATGTCTTATACTTTTCTTTCAAAACATATCAAAAGCAGTGGGTTTGTCCTTATTGTGGCACGGGTGCATGCTCAATATTTTATGGCAGACAACTAGCTTAAGAGTAGGAAGTTTTAAGGAACCGTTTTCACCTCCGATCAGTCAAGCCTACGAACGCTAAGCGACGTGCCAGATATCGGTCATCGCTGTGATCAGTAAAAAGCGATCCACCTCGCAGAAACAGGAGTGAGGCTGGAGATTTGAGCGAAATGAACCACCTTCGTGTGGTCGAGGAATGGGGAATAAAGTTATTGCTTATGTAGATTGCAGCAAATGAAAATAAAGCCAATATAGAATTTCCCTTGCAGCCAATAGCTGCAAAAGAGATTCACATACCTTAGTAAACAACCTGAAAATAAGATCAAAGTAGTAACCGAGTCAATGAAAAAATTGGTGACTGAGTGGTTTGAGCCATGAAAGTTCGAACTTACCGACCGTGTAATTCTGAGTTCAAGTCCTCCTGGAGTAATTTCGTTTTTTGCATTTCCCTAATATATTTCGTTTTATTCCTAGTCGTAAGGCACAAGCGCGTAAGGTGAGGTCACCTGACCCCCTGAGTTCACGAGGATCACGCGACGTTAGGAGGGTCACGAGGCCTCTCGGTTACGCCAAAGGCGACGCCGACGCCGCTCCGAGGGAGGAGTAGCATGCAGAATGAGGAGGTGAGGAGGAGGGAGAAGGGATACACCCTCCCCTCAGTACCCTTTCCTCCTCCTCCTCAAAAGATGCACCCTAATTCGGCGTTACATGGAGTTGCAAGCGGCCTTCATTTTTATCTCCGAAATTCAACAATGCATACCATACAGTATTCAAGTAGCTGTTGTTTACATTTAATTAGAAAGCATAGATACAGTCGTTTCCAAGACTCAAGATCCACTTGCTTAAATCAGCTGGCTTAGACATACCTTCATCTGCAATAAAGGTGCAATAGCACTTTATGGGGTTGACGGGATGGGCCTTGCTCGTGTTGGTTGCACCATAGAGGGCACCGAACGAGGAACGGTGCTGAGGAAGGAGAGAACTTGTAAGCAGACTCAATTAAAGATTTACCACCACACAGTGTCACGTGACGTTATCTGTTTTATTCACTTGACATCAATTTCGCTCCTAAATTTAATGGGGAAACGGTATTGTTGTATAGGTCACATGACGTCAAATTCACTGCTAAATTTATTGAGGAAACTGAATTGATGTACAGAATATGTGACCCTAATAGCCTCGCTATATTTAGAGGGGAAACAGAATTAATGCACCGACCCCATGAGGTTCATGTTTCCGCTAAATCAGTCAGGTCAGGAAATTAAGTTTGTGTTTAGGTCACGTGACGTCAGGTGACATGACACGTTTTTCCCCGCCAGATTAGCGGCAAATGCACGGACCAACGGACAGATCGACGGACGGACAGACGGACGGGTGGATGTACAACATTTTGGGATTATGGGGGGGGGGGGGGGGGGGGGGATTCGATAAAACAATCAAAGAAAACAAGTCGAAGTACAAGATATGATGCATCGTTAAACTCACGTCCTCGCTTGTATCATTTAAGGGTTCTATAGTCCCTGGGAGAAAAGTTAAATGAAGCTTTGGTTGGGGCTTGCTAGTACATATAGATTAAAAGGTTAAAGGGCGCGAACTGAAGCAGGCCGAAAAAGACAGGTACGACAAGGACAAGCGTCCACTTTCAGTTGACTCAATATAACACCAAACATAAAACAAACTGTCGATCACCATCAATATAAACCCCCAAGAACCATCACTAATCCCGCAGCCGTCAAGAAAACAACTTCTTTGTTTAGCAGATAAAGGGACGGCATGCTTACGCATTTATCCGCATCTTCGCAAGGTGGCCACCCGAATTATTGCGTACAGCAAGCTTGTATTCCCGCTCTCTTTTATTAAAATTTTTCACGAAACAAATTTTTCTTTCGACATTACGTTTTGTTTAACATCGCGCGGATTATTCGTGCTGATCAATAATACAGCAATTCATACTCGAAGCCTCATAAACATGGGATTGTATCCACCTGCCTTCACGCAGCCATTACAAAAACTCTGCCAGTATATTCTGTCAATCAGTTTTGACCATGAGGTTACACATTTGAAGGGAGCCGATTACCCGAAGTGATTAGTATAAAATGTGTGTAAAACGCTCCTACAGAAAATTAAACACGAGGGCGGCGACAGACGAAGACAGACAAGATGGCAGTGCAGCTGGTTCAATATTTGCATAAGGTGTCCCACAGTTTAAAAAAGATGAGCGCTAGGCAGAGGGTTCATGTGGTGTTCTCATTCCCGTGCAAACTTCCTAGGATGTGCTCCAGGATGTAATAACAATAGTTTGTTTCGTGCTCAAAAAACATGTCACAAGAAACACCGAATACGCGGCTAGGGTGGTATATGAGATTCCTCTCTGTTGCGGCAAAGTTTACAACGCTCAGACGGCCGATGTTTTAATGAAAGAGCACGGGAACACAAGCTTGCCGTACGCAATAATTTGGGTGGACATCTTGCATAGCACTGCAAACGATGGAGGTGTGAGCCAATTTTAAAACGTACAAGGTTTCTCAAAAGCCGGAGTACGACCTCGGTTTTCTGCAGGGAAGATAAACCCAAAGCGCTCCTCTCCCGTAAGCTGCGAGGGGAAGCCAGGTTGGGGCAAGATAAAACGTGGAGAGGATATAGGAAAGGAGGTGGCGGGCAAAAGTTGAATGCGCGAAGTGTATGTCGGCTTTGAAGGAGAAGACGGAAAGTGAAATGGTCGAGGCTTTCGGTATTGAAGAAGCTGCTGAGAACTGCGTAAGCATGCCGGCCCTTTTTCTGCAGAACACAGAAGTTGTGTTCCTTGACGGCTGCGTGTGATTATTGCTAGAAACTTGTATCCTGTTGCTTGAGGGAGGAAGGTGGGGAGCGTTGTATTGGTGATGGTTATCAACGGTTTGACGATGTTTGCTGGTATATTCAATCAGTTGGAAATTGAAGCTTGTCCTTGTCACACCTGTGTCTTCTTCGACTTCTTTCAGTTTTCAGCCTTTAACCTTTTAATCGATAAATGTTTATTCACCAAGAAAATTTGTTTTTGTTAGAGAATTAAGGGCCTTTAAAAATGTTAGGTCAAGTTTGTCGGAAAGTTAGCTTGTGGCCTTCCCAGCATAGAGGAACGACACAGAGCCAGGATTTCGAAAGAATGGAACTATTTTTAATGTTAGATAGACGGGACAATTAGTGGAGCACTGAATATTTCGGTGTGCGGCTGCCTATAGCTGGCGTTGGCCCAGAAGCCCGCCTAAGCGCTAGACGTGGCGTCCGTATATATGGGGCAACGCCCAGCTGAAATCGCTGGTTATGACAGTAACTGGCGTCTTCGAGGAGCCCACAGTGTAGATATAAACTTTGAACTTTCTTGGCCAGAGACTAGGTATCTCGGCCCTAATTCGCAATAGCTAGGTTCAAAGTTAGGTTTTGCCGCGAGTAGTCTGGTATTCTTCTGATATCATTAGGCCTAAATTGCCAAACCAATACCAGAGTTAGGCTTCACTTCTTGTTTGGTTTTTATGTGACGAATTCGGGTCGAAATTGGCAAAACAATTATCAGAGTTAGGTTTCAAAGATAATTTGTAGGTTAATGCACGGCAACAATGACTCTTGCCTGGCAATTCGGCAATTATGTTGCAAACCAAAGCGAGTGAAAATATGTAGTTTGAAAAGTGATATCACCCTTTCTTGCCTAGATGCATCAAGTCGAAAGGGAAGCTTGTCAGACATGGTCTTTGAGGCCCAGCTTCCGCGAGTAGGCGAGATTTCATCTCGCGAGCTATACAAATGCCTCAGAAACGAAAGAGAAAATACCCCTGGAACTAATTACCCCTTTTGAACTAAAGCCCCATTAGGCGCAAGCTAGGCAACAAGGATTACCAAGCTTGCCCAAAGTTAGGCGTTTCCCTGGCCTTCTACCTGGGCTGCTTTTCATGAAGGGAAACCTCTCCCCTCCCCCCCCCCCCCCCACACACACACACACGCCAAAATAAAAGGGCGGGGGAAACTACAGATACAATAATATCGAACGAACTTCCAACCAGCTATTTCTTCCCAACTGCTAAATTACAACGTGTCCCCAAACATTTAATCTTTTTTTTCTTTTAAACCACATAGGGAACTATGCATCGCCTAACGCCCTTCCTCCGCTCAAGCGTAGCGCTAGAGGTCAAAACCAGGCGGCCAAGTTTAAAAAATAACTGGTATTTTTAAAGTTTTTAAAAGTTATTACAGTTTTTCTGAAATTTTCAATGGGAAAATGAAAATACCATATTTGTCTCTTTTCATTAGCTGGCGCGATAGCATGTATTAGAACGCTCAGTCGGCCGCCGTTTTCCCATTGAATATCTCAAAGAGTCACATATAAATTTTGAATAAGATAACGGTCAGAGCTGAAACTTTGGCATCTGGTTCGGACCCCGAGTGCTACATTGGGGCGGAGAATGAGCGTTCGGTGATGTGTAGTTCGATTTGGCGGCGAAAGATACCTTGTAAATATTTTCGGTCACCTTGTACATCGCAATCACTCACTACATTGTTACATTATATTTTTAGTCGCACGTCTTTTGGTACCTCTGACTACTAGTTTAAAAAATTAGCACTGCTGGATAGAGTTACCTATACGTAGCTCACGTAGTACACAACATCCTCTAACAACGAATTTGAAAATTAAGCCTGTGAGCCCTAAACTTTGATTTATGTTTTGATGTGATAACGTTACTTTATAGTAAATAGTGCAATGTATATATTTTTGCAGCACAATTGGTGCAACTGAACCCTAACCCAGACACATGCAGTATGGGACTTGGAAATTACATCAGTACTATATGCTCGAGCCTCAAAGCCAAGGTGAGCAACTGAGCTGGCATAAAAACATGATAGTTTCTCGGAATGTTAGTGAAATCGGCGACGAGGAATTCGGAAGGTTTTCTCCGAGGACTCCATCAATAATGAGCTGGAGCATTGAAAGGCCTTTCGAATGTTTCGAACGTGCTTCATTGATCATCATTTATTATTTTTTTAAAGTTCTGAACAGCCAATTTTACGAAAAAGAATGCTTGTGAAGGTGCTTATTTTAGCTTTATTTTAGCCTTTTATATTTTTTGCCCGTATGTACAACGCTTGACTGAGCGTTATTTGATATTTATGTAGTATTTTATATAACAATTTTTCTCGTTGCTGGTAAAGATAGGCTTAGACAAGGAAAATTAATAAATATTTGTTTCTCCTTTTCAATGAAACAACTCCATTGAGCGTTTATGTTATTGCTATATTTGTTACTGCTTCATAAAACGATATATTGTGAGAAACGACGCTCGGTATGCTTTTTTAAAGAATGTCATGAAGTGTACAGACCATAAAATATATAAATTACGGATAACAAATATTTAAAGATAACTAAAATTTATATGGCTATTTTGATAACAGGAGGACAATGGTCAAGAAGTGAATCGAAGAAGTTTTATCTTAGTTTGTTAGCGGTTGTCGTATGACAATTTTTGCAGGTTGACCACGCCTTCGTTCCGCAAGTCTAGTAACTTAAAGGCACAATGAAATGAGTTTTCATTCTCGTTGCAATTAGACTTAGCATATTTCTTGATGTCGTTTCCTCAGACTAGCTAGAAATTATAAGTGTTCTAAACAGTTTTCACAGCACAAGCTAAAAAAACAGGGCCATTAGGAAAAGCACGGCGATGAAAATCTCTAGCAGCTAAAAGTGAGTGAGAACTGAAATGTCGTCGTCCCAATGCCAATAACGCATAAAGAAAAACATCGGCCACAATATCACATTAACTCGAGGCATTTGGCTAGATAGTGCTTTTCTCGGACGGATACGCAAGGTCAAAGTACTGGCTAGGGCCATTTCTGCTACTAGGGAACGTTCTGCAGTAATGACAGATGTCCTGCCCCGTCCTAGCGAACTTTTTGATAATGAGTTATATAAGGGTAGATATAAATAGTGTGTCTTCATTTCGCCGTGATATTAGTCGTTGAAATTCATTTATTGACAAAAGATTTCAGTGTCTGCGTTATAGTAACACACCCGAGTTTAATTATTCTTGGAATAGAAAAACGCATTTAATTACAAAAATGTTTCGAAACGCCTCTGCGTCTTTTTTACACTAATATAGACTGATGCCTAAAATTTACATAAGAAAACAAGGTATGTTTCAGAATATAATATCGTGCAAAATAAAAGTCGTAAATGCCGTGAATTCTAATTATCGAGGTGTGGTTACTTTTAAGTGCAATTGAGTGGTTTGATAATATTTTGCTGAACGTTCCTCTTTCAGTTAATTAGCTTTTCTGGTTGCTCATTTACCTGTGAAGGAAGAAATGATCAAGATCAAACTACAAATACTAAACATTATTTGATGGATGGCTTGCCTTGTGGACTGTGTAGGGTATGTAATAATCAAATATCTAGACTACACGAGGGGGACTGAAGAAATCTGAAGATATCTCGTCTCCGGCAAATTCAATATTTTAAAGTTTAAAAACATCGTTACGGGGAGGCCGCTATTGTTACTAAACCGCTTTAGGAAACCGTTTCGCAAATTCCGATCGGTCGACCCGACTCCCGATACGATCGCGAAACGACAAGCGCAGAGAGACTGGAAATATGGCTGAAATGATTTGTCTTTGCATATTTGAGGAGTGACGCGGAAAGTTTTTGCGTGAAGATTGCAATGAAATAAAATTAAAGAAAAATAAAAGGTCGTAGGCCAAAATGGGTGAAATATGTTTAAGTATATCCTGTTTTTTCTGTATAGCTTCACTGAGTGAAAAAGAAGTCGGAAAACAACAAGCCGCCACCGTCGTCGCAAGTGCCACGCGCCCCCACCAGGCGCGGTATTGAAGACGGGTAGTCTATCACCGTCACTTCTGTACCCCTCTTGAAATCATAATAGTGGTGACGTACGAATGTCTCCACTCTGTGTCGCAATTGCAGCGCTGTTACATTAAGGTTCATATTATGTTATACTATGTGCACTGAAAACGGTTGTCTTTCCTGTGCTGCCGCCGTTTTCTCTTAAAATATTAATGGGGAATGGATAGTTCATTGTGTGACATATACCTGAAACAGTCTGTTATCACCAACGTTTAGGAATACTCTGAGTTCTCAGACGCCAGGCTCCTATGTTCACGACGCTCTTCGGGAGATAGTTTAACTCGTACCATGTGTACACTTGATGGTTGTTCCTAGAATGGAGTTTTGCTACCTCTATTCGGGGCTGATAAACCTGGCGATCTTCCAGTGCCTTCCATAACCTCCAGCTCATCATCCCCAGTGCCCACAAGTGGTCGAGTGCCTCCTCGCCTACCCCTCTGCTCATATGACATCCCCGTTAACCAATCAGCATCGAGTACCCAACCAGTTATATAGAGTCGGCCCCCATGGCCACAATTTTATCCAGGCTTTACCAAATGCCGAACACCTAGCCAAAAAACATTGCACGTTAAAATGCATGGCAAACTGCTAGGCAATTGTGTTGCATGCGTAAAACGTTCTAGCTTTCGAAACGTTTAGCGATACTCTGAACTTTGCGCATGTAGTAGAATTGCCTTGATAGTTGTTCCTAGAAGGAAGCGATACTACCGCTAATAGGGCTGATAAAACCTGGCGGTCTTCCAAAAACCTTCCATTCACTCGAGCTCCTCTCCCTCAGTGCGCAAAGGTGTGCGAGCCTCTCCTCGCCTACCCCTCTGGTCAGGTGACTTTCCCCGTTAACCAGTCAGCATCAATATTCGCGACCACGCTTATCAGGCTTCAACTCTCAGGCTTCACAAAATGCTGAGCCCCTAACCAAAGAACGCTTCACGTGAAAATTGTCTTTCTGGAAAAGCAGATTGCATATCTTGGAGTAGCACGGCGAAGCATTTGGTGCCCAGCTTTTTCGTCGGAACGACGTTCTTATTTTAGGTCAGTGTCAACCGGGACTCATAAAAGAAACCCCTGGTTACTTTTTCTATTCGTCCAATTTCATCGGATCCCACAATGTATGTCATTTCAAGGTATCTTCAAGGTGAGATCACGCAAATCATGTCGTAAGCCGAAGGCAGTATAGACCAAAGCAGACGACGCAGACCCTTCATTGTGTGCCTGTATATCAGTGTTTCCAGCAGCTCTATCAGGGTCACGTGGTTTATGAACCATGTTTGCCATACAAGCTACGAAGAGGTCAATGGTCGATCGTTTACGAGCGTGCCCCTCTTTACGTCCGCTTTTGTTCTTTCCACACGACAGCGCAACGCATGCTTCCGTGCGAGAAGTCTGCTCAAGAGGCTTTCGACTTTCTAATGCTAATGTCCATCATGATTTAAGTAGCGCTCCCTCTCCTAAACATAGGATCTCTCGGCAGACCCTGTAAACACAGAGCCCTTACGCACTCGCTATGAGCGGTCGCGCGACGGCCTCTGGAGGCTATTTCGCCTGGCATTAAAGGGATGCTGAACCGAAGTTTGAATTTCCCAAAACACGCAGAAAAAAGCGTGCAACGGCATGCTACAAACACCAAAACGTCACTCATACAGCGATATCTCGAACGGATGACCGTATCTTTCAAAAAAAGAGGCGCATTTGGCAGGAATGTTGACGTCATGCTTCTCCGAGAAGGAGAGGGAACGGCCTCGCTTCTTCTCCGCCTCGCGGCCTTGAGGGAGCGAAGCGAAAAGAGGAGGAAACTCGGTATATTGACCTCACGCGCCTCGTCGGCCTGGTTCAATCTCGACCTTTTTTTTCCAAAAATACGGCCATCCATTCGAGATATCGCCTTACGAGTAGTGGTGTAGGGATTGTAGCGTCCCGCCTACATTTCCTGCATTGTTTTTTCTGAAATCCAAATTTCGGTTCACCATCCCTTTAAGAGCATAAAGGAGGCACTGGTAATTTCTATACAACCGAAAAAACGTCAGCATGGCGGGTGGGCGGTTCACATTGCTCGGAGACGCGCTTGGCAATATCCGAAGCTCAGGTGAGGAGAAGGGTTAATGAAATATTATAGCGAGTTCCAGAGACGTGTACTGATAGGGTTGAGTATCGCAATGGCTGAGAGATAGCACCATTTCCGAGACGCAAAACAATTTTCACGTGCAGGGGTCAGAACTGGGTGCAAGCGTCTGCGGACGTCATAAGATATGCAAGGTATTGCAGCGCCAGTGACGACTAGAGAACAAAATGTATGCCCGGCAATTTCAACGCTAATTCTTATAGGTCCGACGGGTATAGGATTAACTGCGAAATGGAAGTATCCAGGCTGACCTGCAGGCTGTCGCACTAAGTTTAGCAATGGGTAGTAGGAGCTGCAGTGTTATTAAACGTAGAAATTGAGCCACACTGGCAGGATATGAGGCAGGCGATTGAAAACGGCGGTTCCCGGGAGTCTGAAAAGTACTTTCATTGCGACGGCTATGGAAATGGCGGCTTTCGTCAGAACTAAAGTGTTGAGATGGGGTTGCTGTCGGGAGGGAAGATGTCTCTTGACTGATCCGGCAACGACATTAGCGAGCAATGAGTCCATAGTTGCGGGAGTAAACAATATCGGCCTGTTGTCCTCTTTTCTCCGCAGCTTGGATCGGTGTTGTGGTCCATATAAGCGTGGTGTTTGGGACTCGTGCGCCTGAGTATGTGTTTTGTAGCGATGCTGCGCCGGTTGTATAAAGCAGAAAGGTGAACACGTCTGAGATGGGGGCGTAGTAGGCGTGTACGAGCACGGAGAACTGGAAGACTGGAAATTGGCACGCAGTTCGTTTTGCAACACTTTTCAAATTGTCTTCATATCGATGGCTTGTTCGGAAGTGTCGTTAGTAAAGCATAGTGACCCGAAGTATTGTCGTAGATCCTCGGGAATAATGAAGCGAATCAGTTCTGGAAGGTTTGTGGTGCCGACCGTGTTAAGGGAAACCTCGGAGAGGCATTCAAAAGGCACCTTTGTTACATGAGAGCTCTGCATTTTTTCTACGTCTTTCATTGTGATGTTAGTTTCTATACAGTCGCATGGGCTTTCGTAGATAGAATAAAAAATAAAATCCTGAAAGAATCCTTTAAAAATGTGTGGAATGTTGTCGATCTCAGTGATATGCTTATCGACGCATCGATAGGGACGAAGGACTTCTTCGCTATAGCTCGTCGATGACTCGAATGTGGTTTGGTAGCGGCAGGACAACTTGTGCTTGGCTTGTTGCTTGCGGCTCTCAGGTTTGCCGAATGCTTCCGGAAAAGCGGTCGTGAAACCACACCAAAAGATGATACCCTCCTCGCAGTTCTCAAACAAATGAAGCCCTGTGTCGTTCAGATAAAACATCGCGTTCTCCAGCTTATGGGACTAATCTCAGTGGTTGTGGATGTTTACGCAACCGTATTGCTTCAGCTAATTCCCGACATCGGAAGACCCGCTGAAGATGAAATGGTCCCGCTGGCGGTGCTTGACAGGGTTGTGCGGCGGGGGTGAGCACTGCTGAGATGTTCTTGCTTCATGTGCTGCCATGGTGGGGTGGTTGTGCGTTCTCTGCGAAACTCCACGTGCGCAGAATAAAGCGAACCTAGTGAGCGTAGTTACCTTCTTCACCTGTGAGATTTTTCAATGCACGATGACTGACTGTGTTGAGGGTATTACGGAGGTTGTCCAGTCGAATTCCTGCCTCGGGCGCCGGCTCCTCTTCTCTTTCTGCTCCCCGTCCTTTCATTCTTCACAATATAAACATGTCTGAGCCATGTTGGACCAAAACTATTTTATTTTATTTATTTATTATTTTTGTATAATACGATTTTTTTGGCAAAATCTTTATATGACACTCCTCAAATACGCTGACAATTCATTCCGGTTATATTTTGCTCGCCGAAACAAAATGAAAAGGCTAAACATTTCGCCGAAACACGATGAAAAAGCTAAACATATAACATATAGTTATATGTTTAGCCTGTTCATCCTATTTCCGCGAGCAAAACATAACTTTTGTGATTCAAGCGAGAACGCATTTTGCGCCCGTCGTTTGGCGATCGTGTCAGCACCCGGATCAACAAGACGAAAATATAAAACGGTCACTTAAAACACCCTACTTTCATGCACAGACCAGGAGCAGAAGAAAATTAAAGAAAAAGGCTTTAGATGAGCTTTAACTCTTTCCAGGTTGTTAAAGATAATGCGGTATGGGCATCATTACGAACCAGCGCACAGGGAGACAGTTACTCAAGATCCAAACACACCGAAAAATACACTCACACAGCACTGAACTATCAACTGAATTGTATTTCAAACTTCCTCTTCTTCGACCCCAAGGAATAGGTTGCCAAGGAAGAAAAGGGGAAAGACAATGGCAAAGGGAGGAAGGTGAAAGAAAAAGAAAAAGAAAAACAGACATAAAAAAGGGAAAATAGAAGACAAAGAAAAGGAAAATAAAAGAA